ATGATTGATGCCACAACCGGGCATTGGTTAATGAGTTTCCTCGATGCTTATTCTGGGTACAATCAAATCAAGATGAACCCAGAAGACCAGGAAAATATTTCGTTTATAACGAATTTTGGTACATATTGTTACAATGTAATGCCCTTCGAGTTAAAAAATGCCGGAGCCACTTATCAACGACTCGTGAATAAGATGTTCGAAAAATAAATAGGAAAGACTATGGAAGTATATATATAGACGATATGCTCGTTAAGTCTTTGAATGCATGTGAACACCTGAAGCATTTGCAAGAAACATATGACATCCTGAGGGAGCATAATATGAATCTTATCCCCGAGAAATGTGCGTTCGGGATCAGTTCGGGTAAGTTCTTAGGATTCCTAGTCTCACAAAGGGGAATTGAGGTAAATCCCGATAAAATGAAGGCCATAGAGGACATTCCGGATCAATTTTCTAACGTAAAAGAAGTCGAGAGGCTCACAGAAAGATTGGCAGCTTTGATTAGGTTCATTTCCTGTTCATCGAAAAAATGTCATCGCTTATTCGCACTACTCAAAAAGAAAAATAATTTTGAATGAACACCGGAGTGTCAGCAAGCCTTGAAGGAGTTGGAAACATATTTGTCAAGCCCCCCGTTGCTCTCAAAACCAAAAGAAGGTGAAATGTTGCTAGTCTACCTCGCGGTTTCAGAAGTCACAGTAAGTGCAGTTTTAGTCCAAGAGGACGAAGGTACGCAATCTCCCATTTATTACGTTAGCAAAATTTTAACGAGAGCAGAAACTCGCTCTACACATCTGGAAAAGCTGGCCTTAGCTCTCGTAGTCGCCGCTCGGAAGCTGAGGCCCTACTTCCAATGCCACCCCATAATTGTGGTGACTACTTTCCCTCTAAGGAATATCCTCCATAAACCCAAACTCTCGGGTAGATTGGCTAAATGGGCCGTCGAAATGAGCGAGATCGATATAGAATATAAACCGAGGACTGCAATTAAGTCGCAAGTCTTGGCTGACTTCGTGGCCGATTTTAGTCGCGGACTATTGCCTCTGGCAGCCAAAGAGGCAATAATAGTGTCAGAATCGACATGAGCAGTTTGGACCTTACTTATGGACGGAGCTTCAAACGTAAAAGGGTTCGGGCTCGGAATAGTCTTGATCATGCCTTCGGGGGGAAACTTTAAGGCAAGCCATCAGAACGATTCCTTTAACTAACAATGAATCAGAGTACGAAGCTTTGATTGTAGGGCTCTAATTGGCCCGAGGACTTGACTCCGAAGTCATCGAAATGAAATGTGATTCGCAGTTGGTGATGAATGAGGTCTATGGAGTTTTTTACACCAAAGAAGAACGTATGCAACAATACGTGGTAAAAGTTCAGGCTTTATTGACACGATTCCGAGAGTGGTCAATAACTTATATCCCGAGGGAAGACAACGTCGAAGAAGATGCATTGGCAAATTTGGACTTATCGACTGAAATCCAGGGATCGAAATCAGAGATGGTAGTACATTTGATGAAATCAGTTTTGGACATAGATTACTATAAGGTAAATTTGATTAGTTTGGTCTGGGACTAGAGAAACGAAATAATCGATTATCTCGAGCATGAAAAGTTGCCCGAAGACTCCAAAGCATCAAGAGCGTTGCATGCCAAACTACACGTTATAGCTTCAAAAAGGCCAATTGTACAGAAAATCCTTTCAAGGCCCGCTGGCCCGGTGCTTAGGAGCATCAGAAGCTAACTATGTCATGAGAGAAATCCATGAAGGGATATGCGGCAACAACTCGGGTGCAGATTCTTTGGCGCAAAAATTAGTTCGGGCAGGATATTACTGGCCCCGTATGGAACAAGATGCTAAAGACTTCGTACGAAAATGTGATAAGTGCCAACACTACGCATCACTAGTACATCAACCGGCAGAACTCCTACATTCGGTTTTGTCCCCGTGGCCGTTCATGAAATGGGGAATGGACATCGTCGGACCGCTACCACCGGCTCCTAGAAAGGTAAAATTTCTTTTAATTTTGACTGACTATTTTTCTAAATGGGTGGAAGCAGGTCCTTATCAGAAGATCAGAGAACCTGAAGTGATCAATTTCCTGTGGGAAAATATAATTTGCAGGTTTGGGATACCAAAAGAGATTGCATGCGACAATGGGCTGTAGTTTAGGGGAACCAACCTTAAGGTATTTACAGGCGAACGAAGAATCGAACAACGAAGCAATACTAATCAACTTGGAGTTGCTCGAGGAACGTACGGACTTAGTGCATGTCAGAATAACGGCTCAAAAGCAAAGAATGGAGCGATATTATAATCAAAGAGCCAACCTTAGTTATTTCAAAGTATGAGAATTGGTCTTGAAGAAGGTAACACAAAACACCAGGGAACTCAACGCGGGCAAGTTAGGCCTAACATGGGAAGGCCCTTACCGGGTTTCAGATATCACTGGTAAAGGATCGTACGAGTTGGAGAACCAGAGTGGAGACAAATTGACCAACAACTGGAACGTGGCTCACCTCAAAAGATACTACTGCTGACAAATAACAGTCAAACAGAAAATATGTGCTGCACTCTTTTTCCCTTCGTTCAATGTTTGTCCCAATTGGGTTTTTCTGGCAAGGTTTTTAATGAGGCAGCGACAGAAAGCATACTACAAAGACAACAGTGATAAGACCTTTCACGACAAGGCAAACGAACAAGTTTTCACTCGGGGACGATAAGATAATCTTTGCTTCGATAGCAAATTCCCACTAGGAAGTTAAGTTTGCTACCGAATGGAGGTTACCCAACCGTTCACGAGCACAAACCACTAGAGGACTGTTAGTTATTATTTCGCTCGATAGCATGGGTTCCTAAGGGGAAACAAGATATGTTTCCAAGTGAAGGATTACCTAGCAATTCATTGGTGGGATCTTCGAATATACAAGACTTACAGTGTTCCAATTCGCATTCTTCGCATTCGAACACTGGGGGGGATGATATGAGAATACGGAAACACTAAATTCCAAGCCAACCAGGGAATGAAAATCCAAGAACATAATACATCATGGGGACCGGGGACTACGTAGCCAGCCCCGTAGAAACAAGTTGTTCAAGATAGCTACAAGTCATGACAATTTTTTTTCTGCATAGCAAAATGCTTATGTACTTTTGAAAATAGAAGAAATTATATGAAATGCAATCCTTTTGTTTTTCTCTTGTTTCTTGTCTGAATGATGAGTTAATTTTTCCATTTGAAAGTTAAACAAGTACTTCAAATGTTAGTGCCGTAATGAATAGGAGACGTCCTCTTCAAGAGCACCGTAAACATAAGAGGACCCTCTCTTATAAAAACCCTCACGTTTAAGGGTTGGTTCCAGAAGAATCAATGCCTGGAATCTAGAATGCCATCGGGGAAAAATAAACCCTAAGCCGCATATGAAAAAGACGCAAAAAGCAAACTTGCGCAAATACTCATGGAAACCCTCACGAAAAAGGGATAATACTCGGAACCAAAATGCCTCGAAGGAAAAGGCATCCGAGATTACACATAATAAAGCGCGAACAGAACAACATGCGCAGAATACTTGAGCAAGTACGAAAGTTAAAGACTTGCATGAACATTCAAATGGAAGTAAGACTCAAACGATACTTGAGCAAAAAATATGCTTTTATTTACATGAACGCGTCAAAATGATAAAGGTACAAAATAGAAAAAGAAAGAAAAATTTAAACTGCAGCGTCTCTGGAATCAGGAGGAAGAGAAGTATCCGCATCCCCAAGAGTAGTAGATGGTTCCTATTGGCAAGTGAGAAATCCATTTTTTCATATTATAATTCAGGTAAAACTGCTGAAAACTGTCAGGCAGAGTCTGCAGGATCATTTCAACCTGCGTATCCTTATCAATGTTAGCTCCAAGGACCTCCAGTTTATTCAGAAGACTCATCATCTTCAGAACATGGTCCCTAACTGATGAACCTTCAACCATTTTGGTATTCAGAAGAGCTTTCATGCCAGTCTGCTTAGCCGCACGATTCTGATCTCCAAATATTTCTTTGAGATTTTCCAGAATGTCATAAGCAGACTTCATCGACTGATGCTGATGTTGCAGAACATTTGACATGGATGCCAGAATGTAACACCGCGCCATCTCATCAGGCTTGACCCATTTCTGGTAAGCCTTTTGTTCATCATCCATGGCATCATTTCCAGGTTTTTCTGGACACACCTCATCGAGCACAAATTTGTACTCTTCAGCAATTAGGACAATGTCCAAGTTTCGTTTCCAATCAACATAATTAGGACTCTCAAGTTTGTTTTGAGTAAGAATAGCAGTAAGGGGATTGAAAGCAGTCATTGTTAATCTAGGAGACAATTAATTAAATAGATCAAAATCAGTCATGTATTATTTGAATATTAAAATTCAAAACACACTACATATACATAATCTATGCACGTTGAACAACAAATTTCGATGGGAAAAGAGTTATTCTTGCAATATACATATATAATGACAGATTATTCACTCCATAAATTTAAACAGGTCATACTCAGATGGAGAGTGAACTGTTAATTTAAGTCAAGTGAATATCAACATTTAACATATATTAGTCCCATTGAACCAACATGCATACTCAGATGGAGAGTAAATACAAGTAATCAACAACTAGTATAGCCTAGTGATTATCCATAACGAGTTTATTTGATATGGAAGAAGACCTACGTCAATGTGTAAAAATATTATATCACTAGAATTTAACCCTGGAGTCCATAGGAAACGATCCCTACTACCACTGGATTAAAAAAACTCAAAATATTTTTTGAAAAATTTCCAGAAAATTTAAAAAAATCCAAAACACCATCTAAACGACCCCGAAAGCACAAGAACTGGCTTACGTCATAAGCTAAGCTGATGCGTATTGCTCACTAGGCCGTTTCGCATGGACCTGCCAAGTTTCAGGCCAATCGGAGTCCGTCAATATGCTGGCCTCCGATTTTCTGGCCTATTAGGTCAAATAGTGACTTTTGCATTTTTCATGGATTAATATAATTTTCAGATTATTCTAATCAAATATCATCAACAATAAGCAGATATTACATGATTTTCAGAATAATCACAATACTCATAAAACATAATCATGCTAAAAAATAATACAGTTTTACAAAAAAACAATCTTTGCATGTAATTCAAAACCTGCATATTAACATGATACTAATTTTCATTGTTTATCCTAATCATTTAATTAGATGTGAGTAGGCTCTGACACCAATTGTTGGATTATATATCGGAGCGGAAGCAATTACAGTATCATATTCATGTGTGAATTAAACAATTAGCACATACGGAGATTATTCGAGTTACCTCTTGAAGCGTGAACAAAGCAAATCAATATCCGTCTCCAGTTACAGAGTTGCAAGACCTCAGCAAACTTCCACAGTCTTCTACCGTATTACCCAAATAATATTCGGAAAAAAAAGAATTTCGGGTGGGCGAAATTCAAGGAAGAAAAACGTGTGTTTTTCCAGTGAAAAATAAAATGGCCAGTTATATCTCATGTATATATAGCTACGTTTTTTATGTTAAAACCCTTTTTTCAAAACCTGTTAGGCTTTTTTTTTTTCACTAAGGAAAGGTTTCCTTTATTTCCTATTATTTAGGCACAGTAGGGACCACATAATTTAATTAACAAGGCTTCCTATTCGTAATTGCACTCCTTAGTTCAATTTAGAAATTCTTTCATAAAACCTTATTTAACTCCTCGTGTTAAGATTCAGATACTAACCAATCAAATTAAATTACTGACAATTTAATTTATTGATTACTTCCTTTAGACTTTCGCTTAACTTTTTTCATGTATCGGATACAAAATTCACCGGCCGGGTTTACACATAAAAACTTATAAGCTTTCATAAAGGAGTATCATCAATCTAAAAAACCGAGACATGGATTCCATCAACTAATTATTACTTCGCCAATGTATATCATTATTGTCCAATTTACTAGGCTTATTGACTCACGAAAGAATCCCGTCTTTTAATAAATCAAAATAATAAATGACATACACAACTAATAATAATTATATCAAAATTAAGAGTATAAGTAAATTGAATGGACTAGAGAAATTATTTTATTATGTCAGCATAAAATACTTATCTCTACTTGATCCGTTCAATACATACAAAATGTACTAGCACAAGAAGTTGGAATTAGACCATTCCCATAATCAAGATAAATTACCTTTAATCTTGTGCTACAACCATTCCGATGGTTTGTCCAATTCCATCATTAAATTGTGAACATAAACTTTATGACTTATAAGAACCGATGATTTAATCTTTCGTGTATAAGCTAAACTCTGCACTAAATAATCTACTATATAAGCAACAGACACACAAACCAATACATGATCTATTTAAAATAAAACTTTATTTAATTGAATAAGTAAATAAATAATTGTTCCATAAAGAATAATATAATAATACGCATAGTTTATAGTATATCCTAACAGCATCATGGTAGGCGGACCTACATCACATCATTTAAGGTGCGGTTCTCAGAGGCTGTGATGATCCAAAATGTCATCTTTAAATTTAATAATTAATTATATATTATAAGACCTTAAAAAGCACTAATTATCATTTCTCGACTTGCGTGCGAAGTCCGTAAAATTTTTCGGAGAGTTTTTATGTAAAAAATGGATTAACATGTGAAATAGAGCCTTAAAACTCAGCTGAGTTGACTTTGGTCAACTTTTTTAGCAAACAGACCCGGATTAGTATATTGACAGTTTCAGTAGCTCCGTATCGTGATTTGGGACCTAAGCGTACTCCCGAAATTTAATTTGGAGGTCCCTAGTTCAAGTTATGACCATTTAACGGAAACTAGTAATTTAAAGGCTAAAGATTTTCAAGTTTGACCACGGGGTTGACTTTTTGATATCGGAGCCGGAATCCGATTCTGAAAAATTGAATAGCTCTGTTATGTCATTTATGACTTGTGTGCCAAATTTGATGTCATTCCGGATTCATTTAATGTGTTTTGGCACGAGATTTGCAAATGGAAAAGATTAAAACTCAAAGTTTGAATCGATGTGTGAATTATAATTTTTTATTTGACATTAATTGAAATCCCGAGTAAGTCCGTATTATGTTTCTGGACTTGTTGGAATATTCGGACGAGGTCTTGAGTGGCTCGGATGAGTTTC